ACTCATAATAACAGTACGGCTAGCAATGCCAAATGCGGATGCTGATACGAATGCCAATGAGACGAACACACATCAGGAGACGTATAACAAGACGCACGTCAAACATGGCATGACGATTCTACATGCTTCTACGACGAACGATAAGACGAAGGCAATCGATCGTAATACGACTAGTAATAAGACGAACCGTCGTACGAAGAACCACATTCGCACGACATCGAGTTCTATTAGGAGTAATAGTAATGCTCCAGATATTAGTTATAACAATAACAGTAGCACTCACAAGAAAGTACCTGCTAAGGAGGAGAAGAAGAGGAACCGGGGGAAGAGGAGGAAGAGGAGGGGGATGAGGAGAACATGGAGGAGGAGGGAGAGGATTCGGACGAGGAGAGGAAGATGAGGAGGAGCAGGAGGAGGAAGATGAGGTGCATCGGCAGGAAGGCATGAGCAGGAGGAGGTAGTGGAAGGTGGTGAAGGGTGAGGGTGCAGGGTGGATGGGGGAAGGAAGAGACAGAAGAGCATGAGGGTGGGGCGCAGGATGATGAGGTGGTTGCGGGCAAGGGAGACGAGCATGAAGATCCTCCTGTTGCTCTACTCCTTGGCTATGGTTCTCCACCTGGATCCTCCGCCCCTGCCGCGCCTCCGTCTCTCCGTTTCCTGCCTCGCTTGGGAGGTAGCGCCATGCTCGGGGGGGGCATCTACGTCGATTGGGAGGGATTGCCGTGGCGCAGTTGTCTAAGGAGTGTGGTCGGTCTAAGATGATCTTGCTTCGCCTCGTCCGCGTCCTCTCTTCCCCCATCCTCTTCCACCTCCTCGCGGTGATCTTTCCTGCCCTCGTCGTCCTCTTGCCCCCATCTTCCTCCCCTCATCGTGGTCGTCTTCGTGCTCCCCCTTCCTCTTCCCGCTTCTTCGCAGCACTGCTGTCCACCCCTTTCCTCCCCCTCCTCCTCCTCCTCGCCCTCCTCCGCCGTGCACATTGCCACGGCTGCGGGCACAGTTCTCGGTGCACACCCCGCCGCCCGCGCAACGCCTCAAGACCAGCCGGGCACCCTTGGGCATACCACTAGGGCGCGAGTCTTCGCCCGGCGTCGCCTCCAGCGCCGCCTCGCCAAGTATGTCGGAGGACCGTGGGCGAGGAGGAGGAGGAATAGAAAAGGAATAATGTATGATAAGGAGGATCATGGAGAAGAACATGAGAGAAGGGAGGAGGGGGGAAAGAGGACGATGATCGAGGGATGACGATTATGACGAGAATGAGGAGGAGGAGGAGGATAAGACATGCTCCATGGCCGTTTTGATACACGTCCAAAGGTTTCAGGGACTTGATATGTTGGCAAGGGGAGGTAATGGGATAGGAAGAGTAATGGTGAACAGGTGGAGGATCAGGAGGAGGAGAAATGCAAACGGGCGCCGAGTCGAATAAGAAGGGATGTGAAGGAACGCGAGGAGGAGCAAGAGGGGGGCAGGAAGATAAAGAGGGCGAACATGTCGCCTTGATTTGATAGACGGGCCAGACGGTCTAGAAGTTGAAGAGGGGGATGCTTCGTCCTGCTCAGGAGGAGGGGGCAAGGAGGTTGACTTCGGTGGCAGTTTCCGCGGCTGAGTGCAGCTAGTGCAGCAGAAGGCCCGACATGATGTTGCAGGCGGTGTGCATCGATAGCGGGCACTGAGTTTGCAGCAGCCAGCTGACCACGGACGCAGGTGAGGTGTGTCACGTGATCATGCGTAGTAGCGATGTCGAGCAAGGATCTGGCACGCCATCGAGGCATCATACGCCTGGCGTTGGAGAGATGGTGTGCGATGTGGCGCCGCCAGCCCCCTTGATACCTCCTCCTCCTCCTCCTCCTCCTCGCCCAGTCGGGGACGGCGTGCACCGAAGGAACCCTGGCAGGGCGATGGCATGCACAGAAGGGGCCCTCGCAGGGGGATCGCCTCACAGGGGACACCGCGCCGCCCGGGGGTCGATACCGCACGCCATCTTGCCAGCATCCTGACGCCACAGCGCCCGTCAGGACAAGACTGCCGGCATCGACGAGGAGGACGAGTTTGAGGAATTCGAGGAGCACCTCTGTCGTCGTCGGCGGCGTCGTCGTCGTCGTCGTCGTCAGGGCCGCCTGCCGCCGCCGACGAGGACCGCGGGCCGCTCCTGCCCGTCCCCGTGGCTCGCCGCGGGCGCGCGGCGTCGCCCGCTCCGCGCCCCCGCGCTGCCTCCCCGGAGAGCCGACGACCCGACTTTGCCTGACGTCGGGCCTGCCCCTCTGCAGGGGGGAATATTTCGACTGCACGTAAGAGTTCTGCCGCTACAGTGCCACGCAATACACCCCGGGTAAGGGGACCCTGTTAGTGGTAGGGTTCTGGGGCCCCTCAATTGGCCAGACCAGGTCTGCCGTAGCTGGTGTTTTTCGGGTGACGGCAGTTCCGTTTAGCGGAACGGGGCGGGGGGGGCGCCCCCGGGTACACATCACTAAACCAGGTTCCACTAAACCCAGTTCTGCCAACGCCCGATACACGTAAGAGTGACCCTTGGCCGGAGTGACCTTTGGTGCGGGCTCACCGGGGTCCCCCCGATCGCTGAGCGCGATGCGATAGTGGCTGCCTGCGCTCTTGGAATCGGCCACCTCGCGCCCCGTTAGTCCGCGCACTAGAGGTCACTCTTGCCTAGGGTCACTCGTGCGTGTAGTCGAATATTCAGAAATAGCCAAAAGATAATCAAACATAGTCTGGGGACTGCAAAGAGTATTCTTGGGCATCTTTTGGGTATTTTTCCCCATATCCTAAGATGGGGTTCTTGTTATTACTTGGACGCCTCCTACTCCTCCTCCTTCCTCTTCTCCTTCTCCTCCCCTCTCCTCCTCATACCCAGACTTACTCATACACAGACTGACTCACACTCAGTCTTACTCATACCCAGATTCGCTCACACACACAATTACTCTTGCTCAGACCTACTCATACTCAGACCTACTCCTATTCAGACTTACTCATGGTTAGTCTCACTCATGCCCAGACGTACTCATACTCAGACCTTCTCATTGTCTGACTGACTCAACACACGGCAAATTGTGAGGATGTCTCAGGCGGGGCGCTGGCTTCAGCATCCCTAAAGGGAGGCCGCCAGGAGTGTTTTCACGGTCCCGTTCGCGACCGTTTAGTGCGGATGTCTCGAGCGGTTTGCTTGTTTTCTGTCCCAACATTCTTCGCTTTCGGAGCAGATTTGGAGGATGTCTCGAGCGAGGCGCTCATTTTCACGTCCCTAAGGGGGGCCGCCAGGGGTGTTTTCACGGTCCCGTTCGCGGCCGTTTTGTGGGGATGTCTCAAGCGGTTTGCTTGTTTTCTGTCCCAACATCCTTCGCTGTCGGAGCAGATTTGGAGGATGTCTCGAGCGAGGCGCTCATTTTCACCCCCCATGTGGTTTGCCTGTTTTGGTGGCCAGGCTCGTGGGCGCAGATTCTTTTCAGGATGCCACAGGAGGCTCCAACAGGCTCCAGGAGGCCCCAGGAGACCACATGAGGTCCCAGGAGGCATCAGGATGCCACGGAAAGACTCAAGAGGCCACAGGATGTCCCAAGAGGCTCCAGGAGGCCCCAGGAAGCTCCAGAAGGCCACAGGAAGCCACAGGAGGCCCCAGGAGGCCACAGGAAGCGCCAGGAGGCCTCGGAAGGCAACAGGAGGCCCCGAGAGGCCCCAGGAGCAGGAGGCCTCAGAAGGCAACAGGAGTGGCTCCAATCCCATGTGTTTTACGTCTGCTCCTATCGATTGGGTCTCACCTGGAGAACGATTCCTTGATGTTATACGTATGTTTCTATAGGTTATCCTTCTCCTGTGTACACAATCCTACATGTCTTACTCATGCTCCTAGATATTGGGCCTCTCCTGGGGCACGAGTCCTTGGTGTTTTACGTGTGTTCTTATAGACCCAGATACAATACTACCTCTAAAAAAGGATGCACATATGGGGAGCACGCAGTGAGTCATTTGAGTATTTGTCATTGTTCGTCCAAAATCCCCCTGTAGAGGGACAGGCCCGACCTACACTTTATCCTTGGCATCGCTCGGACGTGTGCATTGTTCCTCGGCGAGGACCATCGAGGACCATCCTGGACCATCGAGCAACAAAAAAACACGCACGAAACCGAAACATGCACGAGAAATGGACGTCCGAGCGACGCCAGGTTGTCAATCCCGCAGTCTTCCCTGGGCTTCGGCCTCTGGGGCCCGGTATCTGGGGGAGCGAAGAATGGCATAAACAGAGAACCTCTGAGGTCCGCGCGGATTTCTCGGATCCGCGCTGGACCCCCTTGGCGGCGCCTCCGGCGCCGCCCTTGGCGCGCTCCGCGCGCCAGGGAGGGGGGTCCAACGCCGATCCGAGAAATCCGCGCGGACCTCACAGAGCTTTTATGTTTATGTCCTTCATCGTTCCCCTATTCTCGGGCCCAGGGACCATCAAAAATGCATCCAGGACGACAGGCACGGGGAAGGGTCGGGACCACTCCGGGGGGGCCTCTTGAGGCGTCTTGGGTGCCTCTGAGGGGCCTCTTGGAGCCTCGTGTGGGTCTCTCGGGAGCCTCTCGGGGGCATCGTGGGGGCATCGTGGGGGCCTCTTGGGGCCTCCTGGGCACCTTCTTGGAGCCGTCTTGGGGCACCCTTGGGAGCCTCAGGGGCCAGAGAGGGGCTCCTTAGTTAGGGTGCCCCCCTACGGGGTGCCAAAATGTGGCTAAAACCTTTGTAACATCAATGATTTGGGTCTTCTCGCAGAGGCCTCTTGGGGCGTCTTGGGTGCCTCCTGGTGTATCTGGGGGGCCTCCTGGGGCGTCTTGAGCGTCTCTTGGGAGCTTCCTGGAGGCATCCCCCTCGGGGGCTTCTTGGGGCCTCATGGGCACCTTTTGGGGCCTTCTTGGGTCACCCTTGTAGGGCTCCCCCCAGGAGGCCAAAATGTGGCTCAATGCCTTGTGGAATCAATGATTTTGGCTTACTCGCCGAGGCCATCTTGGACGCTCCAACGTCTCCCGAAGGGGAAGAACGGGGTTGGAAGCGGAAGCTCGCTGAACCACTCACGCCCTAGACTGCTGGCGGGATCCAGCCGTCGGCTCCGCGCGAAGCTTCTCGAGGAAGCTTGGGAGAGCCAAGGATGCTGCATGCGAGACTCGGCCTTTCCATTTTTTGATGCGTGTGCCCCTGAGGTCTGGACCACGTGGCCAGGGCCGGCTGTTCGTCCCGAGTCGTTTCGCTGACGGTCCCGAGGCCCGGCGAGGGCCCCCAGAGGGCGACAACGGCCCAGAGCCCGCCGCTCCAATTCCTTTTGGAGCGTCGGAGCTCTGGGCATAACTGCATGCGAGACTCGGCTCCTGCTGTTCCCACCGACTGTAGCCTTGATCACCTGGAAGAGCTTCGGGCAGCATGACAGCGCCGAAATCGGAGGGTTTTCACGCGTCGGGCCCTGGGAGGCGACACGCGTTCGACACCGTCTCGACACCTCCTACTGGGTGCTCTAGATGACGTCCGGGATGCGGTCCTGAAAAGTACGACGGGAGCACTCGAAATGACGTCCGGGATGTGGTCCCTAAGTGCGACGGGGGCAACATAAGACTCGGCCTCTGCTCGCGCGCGGGGGCGCTCCCTGACGGCAGCGCCTCGGCACGCGGCGCAGGAGAGGGCCGCGGGCGGGAGGCGGGCTCGGCGAGCTCGCCGAGCCCGCGCGGCCCGCGCGCCGCGCGCCCGACGCCCGCGCGGCGACCGCTGCGCCGGCGGAGGCACCCGGCAGCAGGCGGTGCAGAGTTCGCTGCCGCTGCACGTGCGGCACGTTCTGGTCGTGTTGACCGACGGCGACCCCTCGGCACCGCTCGGACGTGTGCATTTTTTCTCGGCGGGGACCATCGAGGAGCATCCTGGACCATCGGGCGGGCAAGACAAACACGCACGACAACGAAAAGCGCACGGGAATCGGACGGGACGTCTGGCTGACGGCGACCCCGCCGCCGGCGTTCAGCATTGAACGCCGCCAGCGACCCAGCATCGGTCGATGTTGCACGATCTGATGCTTTGTGAACGGCCGATCGTTCAATGTGGAACGATTCCCGCAGTATCAGAAGCCAACGCCGAAGTCGGCACGACACGAACCTGCCGTAAGAACCCAGAGATCCGACGCTCTATACAGTCAACCCGCATAGTAAGGATGGGGCGGCTTTCCCAATGGTGCCCTTGCATCCTTGCCTCCTCGGTCCATCCTTGGCCACTTTCGTTGGCCGCGCCCCGCTCGAGAAGCTTCGAGGTGGGCGCCCAAGGCCCTTGCATCATTATCGCGCATCTGTACGATACGGGCCGACTGCAAACAAAAATGGAGCGGCGGGCACTCGGCCATTTTTTTGGGGGGGAGGCCCTCGCCGGGCCTCGGTACCGTCAACGAAGGATCCAGGACGAAAAATCGGCCCTGGGGGAGTGGTCCAAACGCGGCGGGATGTCTGGGCGGGTGGCCGAGCGCGATGCGACGGCAGCGGCTTGCGCGCTCGGGTTTGGCCTTCGCGCGCCCGTCCAAAGCCCGGCCACGCGCAGAGGGGGGTGGCGGGAGGGGGGACGGATTCTGAGAAGCTCCCCCCCACCTCTATGAAGGCGCGGGCAGCCCTTTCTGAGAGACTTCTGGCTGCTCCTTAGAATCTGTTCCTGGCCTGCTTCGAAGAAGCAGGTGGCCTGCTTCTTAGAAGCTATTCTCGCTTCCCAGAAGCAGTTCCGCGGTTCTAAGAAGGTGCCGGGGTACTGGTCCAGACCTCCGGGGCCCACGCATCGAAGAAATTCGAGCAGCCGGATGCTTGGGGGTGTAGAATTGTCTCGGGGTCAGAGATATGTGCGCTATGCTGTGTTGTGTTTTTCCACAGTTCAGTGGCGAATGGCGGCCCAACCACACACTGCATAGATCTGTTCCAACACCTGTCGCCCGCATAGCCCGCCAGGCAATTATACAGTACACGTTGTCCAGTGGCGTTTCCGCGAAGCCCCACGGGACGGGGCCCAGATACCTTAATGTATCGAATGGCCTTCGGCCCATCTCGCCACCCCGCTTGGGTTGTGGGTCAGAGTTCTCAGAGATGCTTCTTGAGGTCTCTTCGGAGCGTTTTTGGGAGCCTCTTGAGGGCAGTTCTTAGGGCCTTTTGGGAGCCTCCCTGGAGGCTTTTTGGGGGCCTCTTGCGTCCTCTTGGAGGCCTCCTGGGGCCTCGCGGGGGCCTCGTGGGGGCCTCTCGGGGGCCTCGTGGGGCCTTCTGGGGGCCCCTCTGGGCCGAGGGCTGGAACTGTCTGGTCGGGTCCCCCATCTGGGCCTCCTCTCGGAGCTGGCTTTGGGCCGGCTTTGGGCCGTCTTGGGCGCCTCTTGGGCCGTTTTGGGGCCCTCTTGGATGCCTCCTGGGCCGTCTTGAGGCGATAGTGGGTGCCTCTAAGGCCGTCTGGGAGCGTCGGGAAGCCGGAAAGGCGAGAAAGCCCAACTACTTCAGACACGTCAGGAAAGCCCTGAGGCCTCTTGGGGCGTCTTGGAGGCATCATGTGGCGTCTGGGCGTCTTGGGCCGATCTTGTGGCGATCTTGGGGGCCTCTTGGACCGTCTTGGGTGCCTCCTGGGGCCTTCTTGGCCCGTCTCTGGGCCTTCCGGGGTCGAAAAAAAAACGTCACGCGGGGATGCGCGGGGGGGGCCCCAGGGGGCGCGCGACAAGCCCCGGCAGATTTCGGAATGTGGGGTCCAGGCCCTCTCAAGACTCGTCGGGGCCTGAAAGCTGAGGCTCCGCGGAGTGGGCAAAGGACCTGAGGACACGCCGTCCAGTTGCGTTTTCTCGATACCTTGATGTATGTTTGTGCGGTTCCCATTATTGCCATGCTCTTGAGCGTAATGGCTTGCCGTTCCGCCATGCTCGGGCACACGGGTTCTTTTTCCCCCTCTTGTTTGGAAGCCCGCAGCGTACCAGGATGGATTCCTCAACCGCGAGTCTTGATTGCAGCGCGGCCTCTTCCATTTTGACGGGGGTAGCACGGAGAAGGTTACGAGGATGATAAGGAGGACGATCTCACGTTCGTCATAGTCAGCACAGCGATTTGATGATCGCGCTGCGTCTGGCGTGCTAGCATCCGATGCTGACATATATGCCGTAGCACCCCGCAGATGCGGATAAGAGTGAGGATGCCAAGATGGCCCAAGAGGCCTCCAAGAGGAGCCCAGGAGGCCGGCGAGACCGCCCAAAGACGCCCAAGGAACGCCCAAGGACTTTCGACAGACATCCAATAGGGCTTCCGAAGGCGTCTGTCGGACCGCGAGCGCTCTAAGACAGCCCAAGGGGCCCCCCAGAGACCCGAAAAGGTCTTCGAGAGGCTCCATAAGCCCCCGAGGGGCTACCAAGAGGCCCCAAGAGCTCCCTCAGAGGGTCCACATAGGTCCCAAAGAGGCCCGCCCCCAAGTCTCACCAATTGGACGAGATGAGAGCCTGACGACGGCCCGAGAGAGCCACGAAACTGCTTAAGGAACCATCTGGACAGTTTCGGAGGCCCTCATGACGCCCCCAAGAGGTCGCTCCAAAGGACCCACTTCGTTGCATTGTTTCGAATTGGAGCGTGTGGGTGTATCATTATATTTCATGTGCGCCTGTTGTGTCCGTAGTCTTGCTACTTCCTCAATACATTTTCAAGGCATCAGTGGGTACCCACTTGAGCGCAGTTGTGAGCTGGCCACGGACTGGGCCTTGCTAGAACCCTAGAACCTAAGCGCGCGCGAAGCGTGCGCGTGGTTCTAGTATGTATACATGTGTATATATATACATATATATATATAGTCTCATCCGTCGATCTACGTCTGGTTACGGTTTCACCCGTATGATCGAATTCCTACTCAGAATTTATCTACATTAACAGATCTTTATCCAGTTTCTGTCTGCTTCTCGTCTCCACTCCAGGAGCCTGATTGGGAGACTCCGCCGGCTGGCAAAGACAACAAGCAGTGGGAGGAGGACCATAATCATACGTTTGTTCGCCACTTGATTGTTGTTTTTTATTAGTTGACGGGAGGCGGGGGCGGCTAGGTGGAAGAGAGGGGGACAGAGGAGGAAGATGCAGAGAACGAGGAGGCGGGGGAGGAGGACGAAGACGAGGATGAGGAGATGGAGAAGGGAGGAAGAAGATGGGGTGAGGAGGAAGGAGGGCAACTGGAATTAGGCGTCAGGGATCCTTCGATTTGCTCGCACGGGCTCCCCGAGGACGGGGTCGAATCGTAGTACAGAGGAGGATGACAATCACGACGACGATGGAGAGGAGGGGAGAGGAGAGAATGAGGACAGGAGTGCCACAATGAGGAGGCCGTCATGAGGAGAGGAGGGCCATGATGAGGAGAGGAGAGGAGCAGGGGGGAGGGGGAGGAGGAGGAGGAGGAGGGGGAGGGGGAGGAGAGGAGGAGCAGGAGGAGGAGGAGCAGCAGGAGGAGGAGGAGGAGGAGGAGGAAAAAGATGAGAAAGAGCAGGAGGAGCAGGAGCAGGAGGAGGAGAGTTGATTATGAAGACGTCGATAACGAAGAGAGGATGTTAGTGACGACGACGATCATGACGACGACGATAATGAGGAGGGCCAGAATGAGGGGAGGATGACAGTGAGGAGCAAGAGGAGGCAGACGACGACGACGATAATCAGGAGGAGAGGATGGGGAGGAGGGCGACGACGATAGTGAGGAGAGGACTGGGAGGGCCAGAATGAGGGGAGGATGACCGGGGGGGAGCGAGAGGAGGCAGACGAAGACGACGATACTCGGGAGAAGAGGATGGGGAGGAGGGCGACGACGATCATGAGGACAGGAGGGTGAGGAGGAACATGGCAAGCAGATTGTAGTGCTTGTGACATGCCTGACCCGTCCGTCTGTCACCCTGTCTCATTCACAACCGAGGCAGTCACACCAGACGCGGACATAGTGTCTGACAGGTTTCTTCCTCCTCCGCCTACGTTCGTGAACTAAACGGCATGCATTCCCCCTAACGATGCTCACATGTGCGTGTGATAAGCGGCCAATGTCTAAGAAGTTGCAGCCAGGCGAGAGGGATACGATAAGTTGTTCGAGACCCCCTTCGTTCAGAGGTTCACAGCTAGTGTGCGGTGAGGTAGGATGGGGAGCTACAGGATGACGGCGGCGATGATCAGTTCGATGATGAGGACGATTAGGTAAGGAGGAGGAGGAGGAGGAGGAGGAGGAGGCGGAGGAGGAGGAACAGGAACGGAGGAGAAGGAGGAGGACAGGAGAAGTGGCGAAGGAGGAGAGCTGGTATGAGGGAGTCGGAGGAGGAGGTGGAAGACACAGGGAGCATGATAATGACGATGCCGACGACGATACTGATGATCATGGTGCTGACACGGCTGCTGATGATGATGATGATGCTGATGACGATGATGTTGGTGATGCTGATGCTGTTTATCACTGATGCTGATGATGCTGCTGATGGTGTTGATGATGCTGATGACGACGATTCTGATGCTGATGATGCTGATGATTACGATGACACTGCTGCTGATGATGGTTCTGGTACTTACGGTGTTGATGTTGTTGATCGCGATGATGATGCTGCTGATGCTGATGATGATGCGGTCGATGCTGCTGCTGATGGTGATGGTGATGCTGATGCTGATGGAAGGCGGCTGATGATGATGCGGGTGATGGTTGATGCTGGCGATGCTGATGCAGTTGATGACAGTGACGGTGATGCTGTAGTTGATGATGGCGATACTGCTACTATGCAAACGATGCGTATGATGATGATAATGATGCTGATGCGGATGCTGCTATGCTAACCTCGATGCTTGTGATGGCGAGGATGCTGATGGTGATGCGCAGGATGATGCGTCTCATGATGATGATGCGGATGATGATGTTGCATCTGATGATGATGCTAAGGCTGATGATGATGATGTTGCTGATGATGTGGCGATGGCAATGCAGTTGATGATGCAGATGGTGATGATACGGATTCTGATGATGCTGATGCTGACGATGATGCTGCTGATGTTGATGCTGCTGCTTATGCTGATGCTGTTGACGGTGCTGACTGCGATGACGACTATGCCGACGCTGATGGTGATGTCGATGTTGATGCCGATGCTGCTGCTGATGCTGCTGATGACGATGCCAATGTCGATGATGGATGCTGATGTCGATGCTGTTGATACTTACTTATATATGATGATGATGCTGATGCTGGTGATGATGATGCTGATGATGATGACGACGATCACGGTGCTGATGGTGGCGATGCTGCTGATGCCGATGCTGATGCTTATGATGATGATTGCGATGATGATGCTGACGATGATGACGATGATGATGATGATGTCGATGACGATGACGGTGACGATGATGATGTTGATGATGATGATGATGATTATGATGATGATGATGATGATGATGATGCGGATGATGATGATAATGATGATGATGAGGATGAGGATGAGGATGAGGATGAGGATGATGATGTTGATGCTGCTGCTGATGATGATGATGATGCTGGTGCTGATGATGATGATGATGATGATGATGACGACGGTGGTGGTGGTGGTGGTGATGGCGGTGATGACGACGATGCGGATTCTGACGATGCTGCTGATGCTGGTGACGATGACGATGACGATAATGAGGATGCGGGTGAGCAAAAGGATGATGATGATGATGATGCTGATGATGATGATGATGATGATTATGATGATGATGATGATGATGATGATGATGCTGATGCTGATGATGATGATGATGATGATGATGATGATGATGATGATGATGATGATGATGATGATGATGAGGAGGAGGAGGAGGAGGAGGAGAGGGGGATTAGCAGAAGTGAAAGAAGAGGAGGAAGGAGGAGGAGGAGAGGAGGAGGAGGAGCTGTAGGAAGAGGAACGAGTGGACAAGGGCGGACAGGGAGGACATGGGGAGTTGCGGTTGAGGAGAGGGCGCAGAGGAGGGAGGAGGGGTGACACAGGATGGAGGGGAGAGAACGAGGAGGAGGAAGGAGGAGAGGAGGAGGAGGAGGAGAGGAGGAGGAGGAGGGGAGGGAGGAGGGGAGGGGGAGGAGGAGGAGGAGCTGGAGGAGGAAGGACAGGGGGGAGCCATAGCGTCGCCCCCCGAAAACGCACGCGCCGCCCAGGACTGGGACGATGCCGGCTGGGACGATGAGGCCACCTGCCAGCCGGCCTTCTGCTTGGCTCCCCGAAGAGGAAGACGAGGAGGAGGAGGATGAGGACGACGAGGAGGAGGAGGAGGACGAGGAGGAGGAGGAGGGAGAAGAGGCGGAGGAGGAGCAGCAGCAGCAGCCGGATCAGGGCCAGGGGGAAGGAGGAGGCTGATGAGGGGACAGGGGCAGGGGATGGGAAGAGGCGAAATCTGGCGGAAGGGGAGGCGAGGGGAGGGTGGGGTCGCTGATGGAATCGCTCGCGGGTTTCATCTGGGTGCGTCGGTGCCCAGCAGCGCAGGACCAAGACGACTCCTTCCAGAAGCGGCTGAAGGAGGATGGCGCGAGTCTTACCGAGTAGCCTTGGGGAAGATGAGGAGATGATGATGATGAGGAGGAAGGGAACAGGATGAAGAGGCAGAGCAACACATGATGATGCTGATGATGCTGCTGCTGATGATGATGCTGCTGCTGATGATGATGATGATGCTGACGATCATGATGCTGCTGCTGATGATGATGCTGATGACGACGATGATGCTGATGATGATGCTGCTGATGATGATGATGCTGATGATGATGATGCTGCTGCTGATGATGATGATGAGGATGAGGATGAGGAGGAGGAGGATAAGGAGGAGCAGGAGGAGGAGGAGGGAGGAGGGAGGAGCGAGGAGGAGGAGGACTCGCTCGATTCAATCAAACATTCTTTCCGGCCCATCTCGGGTTGGCTTGGCGTAGTTCTGCCGCGAGGTGCGGGGCCTTGTTTCTGCTGCTTGCTCGTCAGATTCCGCCCTGCTGGCCATCTAGTGTGTTGGTTGTCCCGCTCTTCCGCGTCATCGCCCTGCTCCTCCTTATTTGTTCCCCCTGCGGCACGGTAGACGGTCGACGCCACACTGAGACGTGCGCAAGAGAAAGCGGGGTGAATGTGGGGGGCGACGGCAGCACAGCGGTGGCCGTCAGCGATGGACACTCTTCAAGCTCCCCATGTCCATCATACGACTGACTGTGCACTGGGAGATCCTGCGTACACTGTCGAAGGTGCCTGAGGCGAACCGCCGCCGCCGCCTGCCTTCTGGAAACGGCTGTGTGGCTAAATGCTGGGCCGAATTCTTGTCAAGCTATTGGGCTACGAATTCCCCCAGTCGGTGTGGATCTTCTTGAGGGAACTCTCGGTGGAGGAAGAGAGCGAGAGAGAGAGAGAGAGGCAGAGGTCAGGAGAAGACATTTCTAAATCTCGAGAAATCGGAAGGGCCTGAGGGCACTCCACTCAGTGCATTGCGGAAGGGTCGCGGCTTGTCAATCAAAAGAGAGCTTGGTCCTTCCCATACGGAAGCTAGCCTTGTCAGTGGAATGCGATAGGGAACTACCTTTGGGCATAGCTCGAAGAAGGGCAGCTCCTTCGCTTCGTACCTGGACCTGGTGCATGTTGTTGGTTGCACGCTTCATGTTTTTTTCTCACCGTCGCTTGGGTGTTTCTGCCCCCCATGGTGGATCTCTGACGACGACGGTTCCCCTGGCAGCGACCCTGACGACTACGGGTGGGTCGACCAGTGCGACAAGAAAACCACGCCTGAACACATTGTGCTGCCGCTCCACCAACCCTGACACCGTCAACACACGGGTGGCTGCCAGCGCGCACCTGGGCGTCATTGCGGAACAGGTGGAGGCAGTGGTGGGCAACGTCCTGGCGTCCGCCGGGAGAGCGTCCAGGCGACAGCCACGGCAGCGTGCACGGCACGCTGCTCGCTCTCGTCGACCTGGCACCCGCGGAGCCACCTCGGCAGCCAGCTCGCGGGCGGCAGCAAGCATCCAGGCACCCCTCGAGCATGGAAGTTTTGTACAGTCATATGATTGATTATCCCAGTCTGGAAAGAGAGCCCACTCATATTATTAACTATCCTATCCTATGGAAAGAGGCTCCAGTTTTGCTGCCTTGTGCGTTTAGGAGGCCCACGGTGCTTCTCGACCAGGGCCATTCCGATACACTTGAAGAACTTCTGTGAGTGGACATCTGGAGGTCCACCAATCGTACAGTCGTAGTGGGAGGGACAACCTTATCAGTCGAACGATCCCGACGCAACGAGGCCTCCAGATCATCAGGTTTGTCCAGAAGTCGCTTGCGAGGTTGCCTCGGGGGGATGTTATATATTGCGCGTGGGTGGAATGGTCGAAGGGGGACTCCTCATGGGGAGCTCCGTCTGCAGGATGGTGAAACTCTAGCTGCTTTCAATTGGAATGCCCCCGCGCCTGGGTGCCTGGCCCAAGCTCACACGCGGGCCCCTTTGTGATTGCAGGAGGCTGGCAGGTTGAACTTGATCAGCTCGCGGCGCCGCCGCCGTCGCTGCTCGAGATGCAGGCTCATGTTCGCCAGCATCCCGCACGATTGGCTATTGCACGGTATCCTCCACCCCCCTCGGGGACAGCGGGTCTCACACTCGGGCGTTGAATGAAGCGCCAGCCTCTCCCCGCCCGCTCGTTCTTTTTGATCTGCGCGCAGTGCGAATGCGCGTGGTCAAGGTGCCCGGGTGATTTCCAACGCGTTTGCCGATCGGGTCAGAGGGCGGAGCATGCCGTGACGCGGCGACGCCAGCAGCTGCCGCGTCTGCGCGATCGCGGACACCGCCCTCCCAAAGACCGTCCCTCGACGCGTTCTCGGCGACGCCGCCGCCGCCTCCAGCGACGCTGGGAGGGGGGGGCCGAGCGCGGCAGTCCGTGGCGCGGTCGATGTGAACGCCAGGTGGCAGCGAACCGAAACATGCGTCACCAGACGCGCAGTTTCTTCCATGCCCGCCGCCGCCGACCCTCCGCCAGGAGCTGGCGTGGTCGCAGCGGCGAGGGCACGATCTTCGTGGACATCGGCATCGTCGCCGATTATGGAAGCAATGCGAACGCCTCCGCCACTACAAGCACCTCCATCAGAAGTCGAGAGTGCAGCCACCCTGCGGCTGCCAGTGCAGCCGCCCTGCGCTCCTGCTCGCCGTGGTTACCATGGCCGCGCGGTCCGATGGAAATGGTTCTGCAGGGCGGGGGGTCGCCGCGCCCCCCCCCCCCCCGCGGCTTCCTGCTCAGAGCGCGGCGGCGCCGAGGTCGCGTTCTCCAGCCGGGCCGAGGGCGGCGCCGAACGCGGGCGCGACGACGGCCGCGATGCCAACCGCGCCCCTGCCATGGCCAGCGACGGGGCCCAACTGCTTGGGATCTGATTGGGGCCCCGCGACGGAAGGAGGCGCGCGCCCCTCCGCGGCGGGGGGTCGCCCCAGAGAAGAGTGGCCGCCTCGCGCGCGGCGCGGCCGCCCTCGGAACCGGGGCCCAGGGGGGAGGGGTGGGAACGCTCCCCATTGGTGCCCCCGCGGCCGCGGTCTCGCCTGCGACCGCCCAGCGCTATCCAAGCCCAGCATCGGCTGCAGCCTCCACCTTTCCGCGCGGTGCGACTCCACCTTCGGCGCGCGCGCAGACAGAGCAGCTGTTGCAGAACAGTCTGAACAGTGCGAACCTCTGCTTCCGACAGCCGCGAGCGCGGCGCCCCGGCCTGGCCCTGCCCGCGAGGAGGTCGGGGGGGCGGGGGTGGATGGCGACCGCGACGAGAATGGCTTCAATGCGTGACTGATGAAAATCAACGAGGCAGACAGCGATGAGGGCGAATTGCTACGAGACTCGTCCTGCGACGAGGATTCTGGAGCCAACGTGGTTTCGTTGTTCGCTGGCGACGAGCCTCCCGGCGCGATCTCTAAAGCACCCGCCGACGTGAGCGCGCGGGACATGGCGGAGCGCGCCGCCGACATCGCCGGGGCGAAGACGCGAGAACCAACGAGCCTCCGCGATTTAGGTTGCCCCCGCAGGTTCCGGCGGATCGCGGCGAAGAGCGTCGCGGACACCGGAGGTCCTGGGTCTTGAAAGGAAAGGGCACTGGCAGCGCGCATTTCAGCGAGCCTCGACTCGCGATACGTGGGTTCCAGGACTGCGACGACGACCTGGCCGCGTTCGTCGGAATTGCAACCCGATGGGATCAGCGACTTGCGACGCCATCTCAGCGCAGCAGGAAGACTGGGCATTTTTCGCCTGCGACGTCAGCGCCGCCGTTGCACTTGACAGGCGGGCATCTTCGCGCGGCGCAGGTCGGTCGATCTGCGCCCCGATGGCATCGAGCTGTTGATCTACGATGGTTTCGATCCGTGCGCAGAAGTCATCCAGGCGGTCGAGGCAGCGCGCGGCTTGCAGGGCGCGCCGCGCGCATGGCGGAAGAAATTGCGCCTGATCCTCGAGGGCTTCGGCCTGAGAGCCCTGCGCGCGGACCCGTATTTGCGCGTTTTCCACGGCGCGCGCGCCAAGTTGAAAATGGTGTTCAGAGCGCGCGCAGACGACCTGAAAGGAGGGGCCCCGAAGATTGTAGCTACGGAGCCCCTCGAGCACTTGGGGGGGCGCGTGGGCGCTTCCGTGCAGGAGTGGGCCAGCTTCCCGCGCGTCGGCATCGAGCTTGCGAGCTGAGCGGGCGGCATCTGCACTCGCAAGGATAAGTGAGCGGCATCCCTGATGGGGGCTGACAAGAAGTTTACGTCGAGTGGCAAGACGAACGAGACGTCGGCGAACAGGCGAAAAGCAATTGTTCCACGTCGTCTAGCTCTGCCTCGCGACGTCGGCCATGGCGGCGCGCGCGCAGGCGCTTCAGCGGCGCGGGGCCGAACCGGGGCCGCAGGGCCTGAAGCTCTCGAGCATTGTCTTGCGTTGGGTCCGCCGGCGCGAGGTCGGCGTCTTGGTCGGGGGGTCGCTGGGGCGCCTCTGGCACGTTGTCAATGGTTGCAGATGCGGCTTTCAAGGCGGTTCCTGACGAGTCGCCTGGACTTGCGCCCCGCGGCTGCGCGGTCAGCTTCAACGCGGATTGCGACTCGACGCTGGCGTCTCCAGATGGGGCGCGCAACATTTTGGAGTTATCGTGCCAGTGTCATTGCCGAGAAGTTCGCTTGTGTTTCAGCGCCGAGCTGAGTTGTCTGGTTGACGCTCTGGAGACCCCCCCCTGGTTATCCAGACGCGCCCCCGTCATATCAACCGCGGCTGGGCGACTTCAGCCCCCAGTTGTCGCAGCAGTTGGCGCCGGGGTCGCGTTCGATTGCTTTGCCGCCGCTGGCGCGGGCGCGGGCGAGCCCCTTGAGGGCAATCTGAAACTGCGCGTTTTCTTTCTGTCTGGCACCCTGCGACGCCTCTGCCAGGCGGGCGCGCGGAGGGCGTGGGCGGCTGGCCTCGCCAATGGGTCAGCTCCTCCCGGTCGGGTGATTGCGGTCAGCGACAGAAGCGAATGCAGCGCGGCGCGCGCCGCGGCCAGCGCGCCCGCGCCGGGCGGCC